ATCCTAAATTGTCTATTCCAGATGCATTCCCTAAATCTGCTGCAACTTGATATAATTCAAATGCTTTTTTCTCATCAATATCAGTTCCAATTCCATTTTGATAACAATATCCTAAATTATTTATTCCAAATTCATTTTCTAAATCTGCTGACTTCTGATATAATTCAAATGCTTTATTCACATCAACATTAATCTCAATTCCTAAGTAATTAAAATCCCCAAGTAAAACAACTGAATTTGAGTAATGTTGGTTATTTAAAAGCCAAATATAAATTTCTCGTGATGTCATATTATAATTATTGAGAGAATCATAAATGTTCCGTTTATCTTTTTCTTCTCCTATCATATCAAGAAATTCAACTATTTCATCAACTATCATCTTAAAGTCATAATCTGATGTTATTGAAGGTTTTATTTCTTCAATATTAATCTTGTTGAACTTTTGAATGATTTTAGATAATTCTCCATGTGATAAATTATTATTAGAATCTTTAAAAACACTCAAATTAAGTTGCTGATTGCTTGATAATTGAATATTTGTATGAGAATCATTTGACCAAAAATTCTTCATAGTATTCTTACTGTTCTTTGGAGCAATTGCATTTAATTTAGAGACAACTTGATTGATAGTTGGGCGATCATCTGGTTCATTATTCCAACAATCTAAAAAAATGGACATAGTAATCGATTTAAATAATATTAAATTAAATCATTAAATTATATATTAATTATATTTACCAGTATAAATATTTATATAATTTATAGGAGTATCGGGAATAGGCGTCTCTCTAAGACCTTGTGATATATCAATTGATAAACAAATATCATATGATTTATCTTCAATATAAAACGGAGGTTTACCACTAGATATTTCCCATAAAAGTATTCCAATACTATAAATATCGCTTTTTTTATTTAATTTATAATCTTGATTACTAAAACTTTTTGGGTCAACGTATGGAATTTTTCCATATAAATTTGTAGATTGGAGATTGGATGATTCTTCAATTCTTTTTGATAGACCAAAATCAGCTAATTTAATCATATTTTGATGAACTAGTACGTTTTTGGAATGCTAATTTATATTAATAAATACCATAAATTTATTAATTATGATTCAACGGATATAACAGAATATAAAATATGAAATTGTAAAAAGAAAACAAATAAATTACCAGATCACGGTGAATAATTCCTTTATCATGTAAGCATAATATAGCATTGGCCAACTGGAATGCCATATCAAATTTATTATCCCAAGTAAGATTATCAAAACATATCTTCAAATATTCTTGAAGAGTACCGCTGTCTGCATATTCCATTACTAACCAATATTTTTTCGAATTATCATTTTGATTTTCTTCAAAATAGGAAAAACACGCTTAATTAGATTATACAGAAAATTACGTATAATAAGAAAGTATGTTACCGAAAGCATTTTACAATGAATGTTCTATTTACCTATCGTAACACCACAGAAATGAATAATATTCTCATGAAAATCTACTTCACGCTGGATTTTAAGCTAAATAAAATTTTAAATTAGAATATAAATTATAACATATAACATAAAAATATTATATTATTATTACCTCTTTAACAATTTCTTTTATTGTGGCGTCATTGAAACTAAAAAAAGATTTTAATGCTAAATAGTTATGAGAGCCTCTCCAGTTCGCACGATAAACTTTCCCAAAACCTCCAAAACTAATTTCTTGCAAATTACTAAAAATATTGAATTCGTAATATTTAAAGTAATCTTTCGCAATGGCTTCTTCGATCCAATTAACCCACTCATCATTGGTATTTTCAGCAAATTTTGTAGGTACATTAGATTCAGTGTTGTTAGACATTATTAACTTATTCACTTTTTATAGACGCAGTTATGATTTTATGCAATTTAAGTTCGCTTATTTAGCTTATTTATAAGCGACCGGGTAAACGGGGTAATACTAAAACGTAATTGTGCAATAAAAGTAGCATGTCGATCATTTCGGGTGATACTTTTAAATTTTGCCAATCATTATAATTAAATCAGAAATTCCGTGCTTCGCCACATTCCACATGAAGATTTTCGTTAAAATATACTTTAATATTCCATTTAATTTTCATTCATTTAATAATCGATTGTTTTTATTCTTTGAAATAAAGAAAACTATTCATGATTTATAATTATTGTGTAGCGACTCCCATCATATTGTATATAATTGAACTTTTAATTTTTGAAGAAAAAGGATGCAAAAAAGAATTCCTGAATAACGTATATATTGGCGAATGCCAATTTATTATTCGCCTAAAAATATATACCTAGTTTAACAATTTAATTTTTAATATTCATCGCTCATTAAAAAATTAATGGATGTGGACATGTGGTTTCCTTTATTATCTTTTTTTTTAAATTTTTTTCTTCACCCTGAATTTTTTGGTTTCATAGGAATTTTTCGTAGCCGCCTGTTTCCGGTAGGCGCGGCAGAAAATTAGCAACGCGATTGGAATCCCAAAATGGTAACGGAGGATTTTTGAGGAACCAATTAGATTAACGAAAAATGAGGTGATTTGAGGTGGCACAAAAATGTTGACAAAAGCAATCATTCTCGGGAGCCGGCAGAAACCGCGTGCTAGACTTAGGAGTTTAGTTAGCACACTAGGAAAGGGCTGTGACAGGAATAAATCCGGAAAAAATAGGGCTAGAATTTCTCGTTGGGAAAAGGTATATTGATACGTACTAGCCAATAGATAAAATTCGTTGTCTAGAATCGCATAGTACATTTCGAACGGAATTGTATGACTTTGTTTTCTACAGTAATTTAGTAGAGAAATGTACTATAGTCCTTAGTATAGTATTAGTAACTAAAGTAAGTGTAGCTGTGTAGGTGCCTGCTCCGTCTTTGACGGGTTAGTAGATAGAATAATCTAATAGATATTAGTTTATAAACCGATTACTAACTGATTAGAATTCTATATTAGGTAGTACGGGTGGTTCTATGTTTCTGGTTATAGACATGATCACCATAACATAATATAAATAAAGGACATTCGTATATATTGTATTTCTCTATTTCATATATGTAATTTTTTATCTAAATTCTAACAAAATAAATAAATTAAATAAAATAAAAATTAATGGATGTCAACAGTTTTATTTAGAGGAAGATAAAATAAATGTAATAAAAAATAAAATACATGATTGTTGTTATGGACACGGAAGCGGAAAAAACCTCGAGTATGTGAGGGAATTAGGGGTTAATATAAAAGCTTCTTTCTGAGTTATATAGATAAATAAACGCTCAATTTATTCGTTATGATGATGTTATATTTAGTTCTATTTACTGGGTTACAAAATTTTTTTTAGAAGGTACCACTAAGAATGCCTTGTCAAATCTAGTTAGGGCACCTTCCAATTCCCGATCCAATATTACCACTACAATTCTATAAAAATCCTATTTAAAAATATTAAATTTCGCATTTTATTTAATCCTAAAAAAATCATCAAACAAATATATTCAAAATGTAAATAATAATGAAGAGTATTCGCGTCATAAGGTCATACAAACTTAATTGTTGGTTTTCATAACATAAAATTTTGTGGATGACCTGACAACCTGGCTTTTAATTTTTTTTTTATTTTTTTAATTTTTAAATATATAATAATAGATAAAAAATTTTTCGATTTTGCAAAAACTGACCCACCCTTATTACTTTATTTGTGTCGCTAATCTATTATTCCATGCATATATCAGCCAGCTTTTCGAAAACGGGAAGAACGTTCATAGTAGGCCGTTCAGCGTACGCCAGATCTTGGTACTGACTGGTCTTCGCGAGATCATTTTTCTTAGTGCGCGTGCGCAATGGTCTGTGGCAAATAATTACCGAGGTTCCAGAAACCCGGTAAGTATAAAAACCAAGTTTTCCTTTTCACTGACATATAGTAATATGACACGTAACAAAAATTTCTTCAAACTCATCAAAAAAATATTCATAGTATTTTGTATGTTCATAAAAAATTACATTTCCTGCTAAACAATTCCCTACACGTTCTTTCCTTCAAGACAAATAGCCGAAACAAAATACATCTTAAAGCTTAAGCAAGTCGAAGAAATATTACTAAAGAAAACTAAATTTAGTAAAAATATGCGTGAAAGTGAAATCAATAAAATTTTTTAAAGGAATAATATTAAATGAAATCTAATAAAAACTGATGACATTTAACACAAAATACGAAAGTCAATGTAAAATTTAGCGAAATACGTTTAAAAATGATTCTAATTGAAATTTTTTAATGAAAAAGAAGAAGGGAGTAAAGTCGGATGAAATTTAACATGAATAAATGTGAAAAGTAAGAATCAATGGAATTTTTAAAGAAATGTGATCTGGAATTAATTCAAAATCAACCGGATTATAAATGTATACAAGTGAGGAACATAATGGTATTTTGTTATGCTAATGAACTATATATACATGGATATTATGGAAGGATGTACACCATGTCATTACTTTCCGGGTAGCATACCATAATAAATTGTAAATGAAAATATAGGTTATTATTTCTGTTAATAATTTAATTATAGCATACAAAATTTATGTTCTTATTCATTAGTAATTAGATAAATAGTTCTTTGGTAGTATTTTAAAATAAATTAAGCAATGTCTATATTCGGTATAATTATATATATTATAAGCGTTACCAAGTTTTTTTTTTTTGAGTCGACACTAGTTAAATCAAAAATCATAATGATTTAATTTTATGCTCTTAGAAAAAAAATGGCAATAAATTATTGTTAACGTTTGTTTTTTTATATTTATTTAAAATAAATGATATAAAATTTGACTTTATTTAATGAGTAAAATAATATAAAAAAATTGTACATAATAAAATATACTATCTCAAGAACCTTAACATGCAAATTTACATAGCTAGTATAATAATCAACTATTTTAACTCCTATAATAATTTGATTCACTAAATTCCACTATTTTAACTTCTTTAGCTTTAATTCGATTCAACAATTTTAATTCTTCATCATTCAATTTTTTATCCAATTTCATACCAAGAACTTTTAAACTATTGTTACTTCTTTCAATATAATTTAAAACAATTTTAAGTAATTCTAATCCAATAATCTGATTTAAATTAATCATTTCAAAACTATTATGACAATTCTCTAAAAATTCCTTAAATTTTAAAAACTTATTGGGAATACGAGAATAAATATAAATAGAAATTTCTCTAATATTAATAGGTATATTATTTGCTAAATTTATAAAAAATTTATCAACATTATAAGAAATAGTAATACTTAATAATCTTGTTCTTAAATTTTTAAAAAGTTGTATCACTGATAAATCGACATGTAAATAAATTCTTATTTTTAAAAAAATAAGATTTGGACAATACGTTGATATATTTTCAATAAGAGAAATTATCGGGTTTTCAACGAATAAACTTTGTAATGATACACCTAGATATTTGATCATTAAAGATGTGACATTAACATTCCAATAATCGCGTATAAATGATAGTTCCTTGAGTTTAAATGAAGAAAAATTTAATCCCTCACATTGATATAATAATATACCTTTACAAAATATAAATTTTAAATATTTTAAATTATATAAATCATTAAATCTTTTTAAACTAACGTTACTAAAGTCACATAATGTAAATTCAACACGAACTAAAGAATGCTTTTGAAATTCTAAAGACAAAAGAATGTTATTTAATAAAGAATTACATCTCCATATCTTAAACATTTTAAGTTTGTTTTGCACTTGAATAATTGTACAAAGCTTTTCTAAAGTAGTAGTAGTATTGATCAAATTATTGGAAGTGTCATGATGTTGAAATGGCGGTCTTCGAATCTGAGGAAGCTTAATTATTAATTTTCTAGAATTTGTACAGATATTTGCTATATTCCTTAAAAATTCTTGTTCAATTTCTTTATTAACAGTACCTTTTAAATAAAAATTTAATGATAATGAATTTAATTTTGTTAAATTTGAAGTGAAATTTTGAAAATTAAAATTTTTAAAACTTTCTTTATATAATAAATATAACAAAATATCTAATCGTTTAATATTTCTACTTTGACGTAAAATTGATTGATGAAATATCGGAATAATATCATGATATATTTTTTGATGACCTAATATCCAAAAATAATATTTAGCAAACCATCTATAAATAACAATAATTATTAAATTACTATCATAATTTTCCAAATATTTTGGATATTCGAATAAAGGGTTGTGTTCTTTATCAATATTAATATTATTAATCTGGCTAAATCCCAGTTGATTCTTCAATTGTAAAATTTCTGCTTTATTAAAACAAAAAATTAAGGTCAAGGTTATTGAATATTTTTTTTCAGTTATATTTGCAAAAGGATTTGCATAAAGCAAAGGAATAGTTGATCTGCACCAAAATCGATTAACCAATAAACATTTAAATAAAGTTGAACAATCATTTTGAAGGTGTTGTAAAATGTAATAAATACAATCATCTGTTAAATAAGGCAAAGTCATATTAGAAATTTAGGAAGGAAAAAAAGTTTTCACGGAGTTATTGGAGAAGCTAGTTATTATAAACCCAATTTTAGAAGTCTTATGGTTGTACATTATTTTTGTAATACTGTAGCACATACATGATTTATAGGCAGGGTCCGGATGATTAGCATTCCAGGGAACTACAGTACGCTAAAATTAGTAAAACCTTAACAGGTGACACTATTGTAGATCTTTTGTTACTAAGTTGTTGATAATAACTGGTTAACATGTTGAAAGCAATTTAGAAACCATTCAAAAAAAATTTTAACTGATTAATACTAAAATTTTTTTTGACTGTAAATTGTATCCTTCTAACTCTATTCACATATTTAGTTATAGGAGAGATCCTATTTCATTAATTTCGTTAAAAAATTGGTATTGGTTCGATTTGAGCACGTGATCGAAGTTGTTTGGATCATAATTCTGGTCAGAGTTATATAATGCGGGCCAAAAGTATGCAAATCGCCTTAACGATTAAATTATCAATTAACATTAACCGGTTCCAACCCTCAGTTATTAATTCGTAATCAATATAAGAAACAGAAAAAATTACTAATAATTTTCGGGGGATTTAAAATATGTAACACAAACTTTATAATGAAATTTTGAGCCATCTACCCATCCAAATCACATGAATTTTATATCATTAGATAGCCCAAGACAAGAGCTTTTAAACAAGCCCAAAACCGCACAAATCTAATTACTAAAAGTCAAGTTATTTGCTTTTAAAAGATTTCAATTACTTTACAAGTTTTGTGCTTTTTAAAAGCTCCTAACTCGGGCTACTATCCAATGGTACAAAGATCATATGATTTCGTTAGATGTAGGGCGCAAAATTGCATTCTTTCGTTTTTTTATTTCATATATAAAACGATATATAATTAACCCTGATCGATATTAATTAAAATTGCCAAATTTCTCCAATTGTCACACAGATCATGAATTAAAAGAGAAAATTCATAGCATACATAATATTTCCAAAAATAATACTGTGTACTTTAAAAACATCTCACATGATCCCTAATATTATGTGTAAAGAAATATTTTCAGATGAATAATTGTGCTAAATGAATTGAATTTGTTAACCGCACCAGTCACTGGAAATGTCACAAAAAAAGGCGAATTTTTTCCACTAAGGTTGGTAAAAAAATCTTTGTGGTACAATATCCTCTTTAAGTATACAATAGATGTATATAATTAAAGTTGGCCAAATCGGAATAAATTTGCAAATCAATAATACATAATTCCGGCCAAAATTATGTTAATTCTGGCCAGATTCATAATACCGGCCTAAATTTAGTTAAATGTAAAAATTTAGATTATACTACTTATTGACTACTTCTACAATCTTATTAAAAAAAATATTTACATACACCTTTATATTATTCAACTTGAATCTTCAATAACTAATTTCACTTGGGATGATATTTTTAGCATTTCGAAATAATGTTTTTATCATATCTTTGATACATATTCGACATCATATAATAGCTACATTCAAAATAATATTTTTACCATATATATAACATATTGTTACTATATAAAAATTAGATTTCTATATTATACTGTATGTTCGACATATTATCAACATATAGTTAAAACAGAGATAACATAAATATGAATATCATATGTCTGATATATTTTAAAAATATCTCTAACATATTTTTTATATTGATAGGGTTTCTGCAAAGTTACTTATAGATAAATGACAAACTCCTCTCAAAAGAAATAACTCACCATCCAAAAGTCTTCCACAGAGAAAGCCATTACCTACAAAAAATAAAAAAAGGAAAATTTAATACGTTCCTCATAGATAATAGCAAAACTCTTCTCCCAAAAATTTACTTACCATCCAAAAGTTCCTCCAGAGAACATTACCTACCAAAAAAAGAAGGAAATAAAAAAGAAAATTCATTCCTAACACTAATGAATAATGATAAACTATTAAAACAAAATTAATAATTTACTGTTTATTTTAGTTTTCCGATTCTTGTTTTTTGTAAAGTATAATTTTTACTTTTGTTTTCTTTAGTAGCCTAATCAATGGTTTATAAACTAATTTCCAAAGTCCAGCTATCATAGGCTTGGAAAAATTTTTATGAAAAATAAAAAGAAAAAAAAGAAAATTTAGTAGTTAATAAAACAAAAAACAAATCTAATAATCGATAAAAATAAAAAAAAATCAGAAATCACCTAAGAGAGCACTAACTTGTGGAAATGTTCAGTTCGTTCTCAATTGAACCTCAACTTCAAGCCATTGGGAACATTGTTCATTCCTTTAATTTTTTGTCAGTTGTTCATATTAATAGCTTGTTGATGTTACTGTTGTGAAAAAGAAATTGGAGAAAGAGGGAAAGGAATTATGGGAAAGAAGGACAAGAACATAAACTTTTTTTTAAAGATTATTCATCATTGAATTGCGCCTATCAGTTATCTTATTATATCACGTGATACACGTGACATTAATTTTATGTAGGACGCGATGGACGCGTTAAAGCCGTTAAACTATTTTAACTATTTTTAATCACGAATAAACTATTTTTTTTTTTAATTTCTTTGCATTTTTTCTTTTATACTCTTCAAAATAATAAACAGACAAATCCTATAACATTAGTTATTATTTCTTGCAAAACAACTTATTGTATTATAAAATTCCAGCAAACCTTTTATATCTATCCATTATTCTATTGACTCTATTGTTAAAAAAAATCTCAAAATATATTTATACCAATCTATTATTAAAAAAATTCCAAAAAATTTTTTATATCTATTCATTATACTATACCAATATAATATAAAAAAAATCCTAGAAAAATTTATATTCTGGGTTTTTTAGTATAATTGACTTGAAATTATTAGAGGTCATAAGCTTTCTCACCAGCTGGCAAAGTGTATGAAATTTCTTTTAATTCATAAAGAAAGCCTTGCTAAAGTCATCTTTAGTGCAGGTCCAGTAATACATTGCCTTAATTGAGCATGGCTACGAAGTTTATGATTTATCTCCGCTATTTTTGTTATTTTGCAATGATATAAAACTTTGTTTAAGTATAGCAAAATTTAAGTAGATGGCTTGTCACAAATTAAATATCATATTTCAAGTAAATTTCAAGCTATAATATATGTAATATACATTGATATTAAATTTAATTAAAATTTATTCAGAATTTATACATTATAAATTAGCGAATTAATTTTAAAATCATAAAATTTACAATAAATTTTACCGTTTCAATCTATAAATTAAATTTGATGGAGATTTCCTAATCGTAATTGAGATCACCAAATTTATAAGCTATTTATGGGCTATAAACTTCATGCAAATCATCCCACTTCGACCAGTGAATATATCAATATAGAAATATTTTTTAAAAATGAATCATTATGATCTAATTTTATGTGCTTAAAAAAAGAAATGTCATTCAATTTTATTCAACAAGTAAAGTAATATAAAATAGAAATTGTAAATAAAATTGTAAATAAAAATTTAAATAAAAAAAATACATCTCAAGAATCTTATCATATAATTTTACAGCTGTTAAGAAAAAAAAGTTATGCAAAAATAAAAACAAAAGTTCATTGAAAATAAACCGTAATTACTACATTCTTCTAGTTAATTTTATGAAAAATAAATAAATTTCATGAGTAAATTTTTCGTTTATAATGTGATTTTTTTCTCCACAATGTTCAAAAAATGGTTAAGGCTAAATTTGAAGCCCAAAGACAAACAATTATCTACCACTGGCTTAATAGCACTCGTACTGCAGGGGGAATACATAAATTAACAAGAATACCACTTCGTACTGTACTGTCCAATATAACAACTATAACATTTAAAAGCTCGTAGAAATGGGTTCTATTGAGCACAAGAGGGAAAATGGTCATCAATCTAAAGTTACACAAAACATATCCTGAGCTATTAAGCGAAATAATGCCATCTCAACTCGCCAATTTGCTAATTACATTGAAAAAAATTATTATTTCACATGGTACTGTGTGGAACTATATGAAAAAAGTTACAAATCATCTGTACCTTTAGGAACACCAATGCTTACTAACAGGCACATTGAAAGGCGAAAAATATGGGCGTAACTGCATACATATAGGCTGATTTTCGGAATTAACAAAATTAGGATATTTTACAAAATTTACGGGTTACTACAACTCAAAATATAAAATTACGTTTCACAAATCAAATCACAATGTATTACAAGGTCGTGTGATATAAATATAATTTATTTATAGCGATAAAATATTTTTCAAACTCTCTGTTAGTTTCCCCATCAGTTTCCCATCAGTTTTTTAAGTTAGGTAAGCTGAATAGTTTTGAAAGCATATAGAGTAGTTTTTCTACTTTATATACAAGCAGTAGCTATTTTTTTTATTATTTGAAAGTTTTTTTAACATTCTGTGGGAAAAAAAATACATTACTCAATAGAAATATTTAAAAAATCATAATTAATAGTTTTAAGTGTAATTTATTAAATTGTAACAGATTAAATTTTGAATTAATAAAATATTTAGTTAAAATTTATTTGTATTTATTTTTAAATAATTTATTATTTTTCAGTTTTTTTTTTGTTAAATATTATGAACTTTCTTTTTTTTTTTTAATAAACTAACTATAATATTTTTCCTTCATTTTTTTAGGATGTATTTATTATTTTCAGGTTGAAAAAGCAAATATTGTAATAGAAATTTTGAATGAATTATTATTTTTGATATGATATTTGATCTTTTTTTATTTGGGAACGTCACACTCAGCTGATTAAACGTCACGTGACCAAATCCTTAATTCCACCGATCGGTGGATATGATAAACGATAACTGGAACTATACAATCTTTACTGATGAAACTGCATTTGACCTTTTTAGAAATAAGGTCCGCCAGTGGCATACAGATGGTAATAGGCCCATTCGAAAATTACCAAATCCTGGCAAAAGGTAACGGCATGGAAGGGCTCCTGAATATATACATAATACAAGCAAACCGCTGCTTATTGCCTGTACAGAAGACGCGTCACATATTCGGTTAGGGTCAAGTGACTCTGATCGGTTCTGAACTCTCATCAGTTGGCTCTTACTATTTTCCATTTTAATTTTTCATACTGGGATCTTAGACCCCAAAATTCACTGTATATAAAAAGTCAGACCCCTAAAACCTTAAAGACTCTTAAATTTGAGAAGAAGAATGGTCCATTCTTTTTACAATCAGCTATAACAATCATTTTCAACCGGTTAATAGATGTCTTGACTGGTTGACCATCTTAATAATCGGCTAATCAATTGGTTAGTTCCAAACTCTACTGCGGTAGGATAATAATCCAAACACACATCACGTGTAGCTAAGGAATTCATTGCTGAAAATAAAATTTGTTTAATCAATTAGCCATCTTTGAAAATATGTGGCAAATCATTTAGAATAACGTTATGAAACAGATGCCATAAAATGTCGATGAATTAACAAGGTTTTGGTTGAAGAAATGGGAAGCAATCCCACAGAAAATGATCAATAATTTAGTTTTTTTAATGAAAAACAGATATGAGAAAATAATGGGGATAAGATACCATATTAATTTTTTTATTTAATAAAGAAATTGATTATTACATACGATAACTCTTTCCCTGACACACAGTGGATCAGTATAATATTCAACTATTTTAACTCCTTTAGCTTTAATTTGATCTAATAATTTTAATTCCTCATCATTCATTTTTTTATCCAATCCCATAATACCAATAATCTTTAAATTATTGTTACTTCTTTCAATATAATTTAAAACAATCTTGAGAATTTCATAATCAATACTATAATTTAAATTAATCATTTCAAAACTATTATGACAATTTTCTAAAAATTCCTTATATTGTAAAAACTCATTAATATTCACGCCATTAATAGAAATTTTATTAATATTAATAGGTATATTATTTGCTAAATTTATAAAAAAATCATTAATATTATTATTAATAATAATATTTAATATTCTGATTCTTAATTTTTTTAAAGATGATAAAAATGATAAATCAATATTGACATTATTAATTCTTATTTTTAATGAAATAAGATTTGGACAATATATTGATATATTATCAATGAGAAGAATAGTAGGATTTTCAACAAACAATCTTTGTAATGGTGCGCCTAGATATTTGATCATTAAAAACGTGACATCAATATTCCAATAATTGCGTATAAATTCTAATTCCTTGAGCTTAAATGAAACAAAATTTAAACTCTCACATTGATTTAATAATATACCTTTACAATATCCAAATTTTAAACATTCTAAATTATGTAAATTATTAAATCTTTTTAAAAAATCAACATTACTAAAATCAGTACTCATAATTTCAATATGAACTAAAGAATGCTTTTGAAATTCTAAAGACAAAAGAATATTATTTAATAAAGAATTACAATTCCATATCTCAAATATTTCAAGTTTGTTTTGCTCTTTAATAATTGCACAAAGCTTTTTTAAAGTAGTAGTATCGATCAAATTATTGAAATTGACACGTTGAAGTCGTGATCTTCGAGTTTGAGGAAGTGTAACTTTTAATATTCTCAAATTTAAACAAGTATTCGCTATATTTCTTAAAAATTTTTGTTCAAGTTCATTATCTGCGGTACCTTTTAAACAAAAATTTAATGATAATGAATTTAATTCTGTTAAATTTGAAATGAGATTTTGAATATTAAAGTTTTTAAAACCTTCTCTGTAAAATAAACTTGATAAAATATCTAATTGTTTAATGTTTCTACTTTGACGTAAAATTGATTGATGAAATATCGGAATAATATCATTATATAATTTTTGAAAACTTGATAAACCTGAATGATATTTAGCAAACCATCCATAAATAACGGAATTTATTATACTATATTTATAATCTTCCAAGTATTTTAGATATTCGAATAACGGTTTGTGTCCTTCATCAATAATAATATTATTAACCTGGCTTAATCCTAATTGATTCTTCAATTGTGAAATTTCTGTTTTATCAAAGCAAAAAATTAAGGTTGAGATTATCAGGTATCTTTTTTTGGATATATTTGCAAAAGGATTTGCATAAAGCAAAGGAATTGTCGATTTGCACCAAAATCGATTAACCAATAAACAGTTAAATAAAGTTGAATGATTATTTTGAAGATAGTATAAAATGTAATAAATACAATCATCTGTTAAATAAACTAAAGTCATCTTAGAAATTTTAATAGGAAGGAAAAAAACGTTTTCACGGAGTGTCGGAATAAACTAGTTTTTATAAGCACAATTTTAGAATCCATATGGTCGTACATTACTTTTGTATACCGTAACACATGGTTTATAAGTCGGATCCGGATGATTGACATTACCGAAACCTGTTATACTGCTTTGCCGATTCGATTTACAATTTCACCATTTTGCTTGCCGATATGGTTAACATGATCAACATATCATGTGAAACCAGATTACTAAATTTTTTTACAAAATTTGGAACTATTAAAAATTTGAAGTTGATAAATTTATTATTGCAATTTGTAAGTACATAAGACTATAGTTTTTTTTTGAAAGCAGTAAACTTAGAATTAAGACGCAGCAAAGGAGCGAGGTGCAGCTGGATAATTGATCTAAACAATTTTCGGTGAAATGACAAGTCGGTAATTTTCATGTCGTAAAATGCCATTTCAGTGAAATGAAGTTTGGGTAATTTTTCATGTTTGTAAAATAGAAGTCAGCAAAATGGTGTCAGTTAACGTGTTAATAAGAATGACTGCCTGTAAATCGTACTGTAACCCATTGTAACAGGTCAGAAATACCTTTCTCTTTTTTTTCAATTATTTTGATCAAATTTTCTTCTCGTTATATATTTATACTAAATTCATCAATTTGAAATTTGTTCGATAATAAAGACTTAATTCTTTTTTTTCCGACTTACAAGTTATGTGAGATTTATGTAAAGAATCGGGTGCGTCGGTCTATTGGTTTACAAGAGTATAACTATACTTTCTAGCGTAATTTAAGAATTGTTTCATCACGTTATAGAAATACTCAGGTATGATTTTTATTAACATGTATAAGCGATATGAGGTTTATCAACATATATAGTACTTCATTATTAAAGGTATATGGAGAATTATCAGATAATGAATCAAAAGAAAATTAATCAAGTTAATGAAAACATTGTCCAAAAATACGTTATTTTGATATAATTTTACGTGAATTAAGTCAAATCTATATAACTAAAAAAATTCAATGTCATGTTTAGACTACCCTCTGTATAAATAATTCTGAAGTGCAATGTGGTACGTCAGCAGATGATTTATTCCGTGTTAGCATAGCGTCTCTATATTATTATGGCTAAAGGAATTTTGATCGGTAAGTTCATAGCATGAACGCGTCTATTGTCAACGAAATTTAATCGTTCGTTGATTACTAATATTTATTATCTATCCTGTATAAATAATAATTGTGAATTGTGTAATGTGCGGTCTGTCTGCTAGGACCCAGAAATATATATATAGGGGTCAGGTGATGAAAAAATTTTTTTACTATGAGCTGTACGCATTTTTTCAGGGCCGGAATTATGATAATGTCAGTCGGTTACTATAATAGGAAATAAAATTCTGACTGGCATTATCAAAATTATCTCAAAAAGGAAAGATTTCATGATGTTTTTAGTTTAAAATACGCAAACTCAAACCTGACCCTTTTATATATATTTCTGGGTCCTTGTCTGCTCCTGATCTATTCCGTAATAATATGGGTTTTTTATTTCTTTTAGCTCTCTATATTATTGTTAAAAATAATTAATTAGTGAATGCTGATCATGTCCAAAGTTGATTACTAATCTATTATAAAATATTATGTTCTTTTTGGTTAGATTGTAATATACTGACAGCTGATTTTTTAATTTTTGATCGGCTAAACTTAAAATTTTATCGCAAAAGATATTTTTTAAAAAAAAATTTTTTTGCAAACATATTTATTATAAATAATCTTATCTAATGGAATTTTATTTGTAAATATTAAAATTTAAGTCACATATTTACGATTTTAGAGAAAAACATCAGTGTATTTTTAATGAAATGATACAAATAAAAGAAACAATAACAATAAATAAAAAGATAAGTAAATTACAATGATCAAGGAGAAAGATGCTAATAAAAAAAAATGAAATAACAATAGAGTAATGGAAAGTAATAGGAGATGAAAGGGAGTAATGGTGGGAAATAAAAAGGAGAAATAGGACATGATGGGAGATGAAGAGAAGTGATGGGAGACGAAAAGGATTGATGGGAAGATGAAGAGGAGTGATGGGAGACGAAAAGGAGCGATGAAAGACAAAAAGAAATGATGGGAAGTAAACAGGAGAGAAAAAGAAATAATGGAAAATGAAAAGATGTAATAGAAAATAATGGCAGACGAAAAGTATGGAATAAGAAGTAATAGGTGAAAAATGATGAGAGACAAAGAATAAAAAAATGATCATGATAGGAGGTTGGGTAGCAAAAAATAATGATAGGAAACCAAGTAAAAAATAAAACCATGAAGTAAAAAAAAAAATGAAGTTAGTAAGAAATGAAATATAAGATAGAAATGAAATATAAAAAAAATAAATAAAAAATAAAAACTAATTGTAGAACCAAAAAAGAACTAAAAGGTCTAAAAAAATGAAATAAAATTAGTGAAAATAAAATATGAAACAGAAACGAAATAAAAAAAAATAAATAAAGGAGTAAGAAACAAAAACGTAAAGTGAAAAATAACTGATGAACCTTAATTGCAAAACTGGAAGGACTAAAGAACCTAAAAATAATGAATAAAAAACAAAGTGTAAGAATATAAGTTAGAAATAAAAATAAAAGAAAAAAAGAAAAATACCTTAAGACTGAAAGAACTGAGTATTTTAATTTTTTATTAAATAAAGTAGAATTAAATTTATGTAAATATATACAAATATAATAAACTGTAATATAAATGATAATTCAGTAACCAATTTCATGATGATCAATTCATGTAAACTCAATACGAATCCCGTGTAAATTCTGTATCCAAACCATATTTTTAGTAATATGGAATTGCGCATTTTTCCGTATCCTTTCATAATACGTTATTTCTAAGGAAAAAAAATCGTATAAAAACTATAAAAAATGTATTCAATTTTTTTATAGGGCTTTTATAGCTCAATCAATAGGTCCTTTGCCATAGCTTCCAGAAATTTCATATTGAAAATAAACTTTCACCTCACCACCAAAGATTGATACGGTAACATAAATAGTGATAAGGCCGGGCAAAATTAATTTTTAGATTCTCGTGACCCGGCCGTGTCAGTTTTACAAAAATTCAGGGATTTTTTTTTTATAGTAAAATTTTTGACCACGTGACTTAACATAATAAAATTGCATATACTTTATTATATAAAATTCAATAAACGTGTTACATTTTATTTTCGTAAATAAAATCTTATTTTCGTGATTCTGGGCAGAATTGGTTTATATCAACAAGTTTCCAATATTCCAATTTCTCTAAAGCTTTTATAAGAATGCGAAACTCTTTAATAATTTCAGTTTTCCTCCATATATTTCCTATATATCTTGCTTTTAACTATATGAGTTAACGAATTTTGATTTTCTGCAGTTATAGCTCTTTGATTAATTAAGTATTCAGAAGATTTGTTGCATAAAGCAGCATAGGTTCTTTAAGCCAAGCAAATTTGGGGTTTCCATCCATGGTAATTCAATGTACTGTAATTTATCGGAATTTTATAATAATTTTGTAATTTTTCTGAATTAGATTTTTTGTATCTTTCAGGATGGGCTCGATCAGAAAACCTAGTAAATAAAGCCGGAATTTTGTATCTATCATCTAATGTTTTATAAGAACAAATATCAACATATACGTAGATTTTGTTAAATCAGAAACAAATCTTTTTCCAATATTATTTGCATTATCTTTTCCTATCCAGCCACCTCCATCTATGCATAGTTGATCCAAAGAATTTCTTGCTGGCAATTTAAATTCTGGAAGATAGTTAAGCATTGAAGCAGATTTCATTAATTCAAATGCATTGATTGTATTCATAGCTGGCTCATTATTAGAGTCATCAAGTAATTACATATTTTCCGTACTGTTTAACAGTTTCCATGCATTAGTTACATTTCAGTCCTATTTTTTCCATTTCACCTGTTTTTGTAGGACTAAAATATGCAATACAATTTTTCCCCATAATTCTATCTTTAATTCATTAACTTCTACATCATTGAAAAAATCTTTTATATTCATATCCTCATCAACTGGAAGCCCCTCCCACTCAAATACTGTTTTAGAACGAAGCAAAACATGTACTGTACAATTATTATCGGCATATCAGATTTTATTTAAAAAAAAGTGGCGGAAGATAGATTTACATAGATTTAACAATTTTATCTTTGTTTGTGTAATACAAGATATATTTGTGTAATACAAATATAATACAAAATACATATAAAAAAATTTACATATGAAAAAGAAAAAAAAAAAAAACTGAGTGAACCGTGTCAATTTTAAAATTTTATGTCACGAGAATCTAAAAATTAACTTTGTCCGGCCTAAATAATGTGAAAAATAAATTCACAACGAGTGGCCTCTTTTTTACTAATTATAATATAGAAATTTTGTTTAATTATCATAAAATATATACAGCCATTCCCTGACGACATTCATTACTTAAGAGATCAAATTCTATCTAAAAATATTAAGAACGTAGATAATAAATGTATGTTTTAATTATTAGATTATTGATCATAATATTTATTCATTTGTAATTAAAAAAATGGACACGAACTAAACATGAATAATGGTTAGTACATTTTAGTGGCTGACCACTTGTCCAGATTTTAACTAAAATAGGAAATAAATAATAATTAAAAATTATTAATTACTAGGACTTTATTCCCAAGTTTCTTGATTGATTTTTTTTTTTAAAAAAAAAAATTAAATTGACAAAAAAAAGAATATACGTTTTTTACTGTTTTTGTGCAATGACAAGAAATATTTTGATTGCGATATATAAGGTCGTAAGGCGTAAAAATTATTTAGCGATCAGGTTGTACAGGATGTACTAATTAATAAATAAACTTTTTGTTTCTCATTTTTATTATTTGAGGTAAATAAGGTTATTTTACATTATTGTAATATAATAAAAAAATAAAAAAAAAAAAAACAAAATTTATTATGGAATTATCAAAAAAGAAATCTGAAGAACAACCAAGGAATTTATAGATGCGTATTGATAAAAGAAAATATCACGTAAAAAATTTATATCTTATTACATAATATGTTGTATAATTAAAATTATTTAATTTTTTAATGATAATAATATTTTTTTAAATTGAAAGCTTCATGTTACCATTAGTTCAACTACTGAATCAGAAGATACAGATGAAAAAATAATTTATGTGGACGGAATATTTAGAAAAAGAATATGAGTATATGGAATATAAAGAGAAAACAATTATGAACCTGGTCAGGAAGTAAATAAAAATTGTAAATTACATGATATAATTGTTTTCTCTTTAATAATTGATAAATAATTCAATACATAACGAGATCATTAATCTTCAGCAACTATACATTCAAGACACTCAGACTTTTCTTGAGCTAAAATTTCAGTAAATTTAGTGAATTTGCGACTTGTATAATATGCTTGTGGATGAGATTGCATAATAGAAGTATTTACTTGTTCATGTACTAAAGTTTTGTTTGCTTCTACAAATTCAAACATATTATCTTTTAATTGATTATTAATAATATTAGACACTTGATATTTATAATTTCCATCCCTGTTTATTTTATAATATTCATTAATACATCTAATCCAATCAGATACAATTTTTTCAAGTATTTCTATGGTTGGTCTATTGGAGGGATTTGAATCCCAACATTGTTTCATTAAATTTATATAACATTTTGGAGTATTTTTTATAATTTCAGGACGTTTTTCTTGATTACAAATATCCAAGACAAGTTCAAGATCATGTGGTTCATTATTAAATGGAGGAACACCTGATGTAAATTCCCACATTATCATTGAAAAACTATAAATATCACTTGCTGGAGTATAGGGTTTGTTTCTTAATATTTCAGGAGCCATATAAGGTAAAACGCCATAAATTTCATTAACCTTATTATCAGAATCACTTATAGGTTTACATAGTCCTAAATCAATAATAAATAACTCATTGTGATTATCTGACATTAAAATATTACCATCATGAAAATCACCATGAGTTAAATTTGATTCATGAATTACTTTAAGTCCCAATATAATTGTTTTCAATAATTGTAACTTGTCTTGCCACTTAAATTTAGTTATATCAGACAAACATTTTCTCAAACTTCCTTTTTTTGCATAACTCATTACTATTATATAATTTAAATTATTTGGATCTTGAGTAATTCCAAAGAATTGAATAAATTTTGAAAATGATTTTTTTTGACAATTATAATGATATTTCCACTATATAGATGATAAAAAAATTATTAAATTTTTTGCAAAAGAAAATAAAATTTGCTATTAAAATAAATACTATACCTCATCCAAAAATATACTATTTAAATTTGATGAATTATTAAGTGTTTTGAGAATAACCTCATACTCTGTGTGTCTATACCATTGTTGTTTGTCAAAGTCCCAACTATAAATAGGTCCATCTAACCAGATAGCTTTATGAATTTCACCAAATCCTCCTTTATCATAAAAATCAATACTTGACAATTTATTATAGGGTATCCATTCTAAAATTTCATAACTATTTTTAGCATTTAGTTGCGCTTCTTGAATAAATTTATCAATAAATTCATTTTTACTGGTCCACTTTGAAAAATCTCGTTGAAATTGTCTAGTATTACATTGTTGGCACCACTGATAATCAGTATATGGTTGCTTGCATTCATTACATGATTTAACTTCATTTTTAGAATTTACTTTACCATTTTCTACTACTTTTTGATACCAATAAAAAGCTTTTTCTAAATTCTTTTTTGTCCCTTCTCCATTATTATAACGTTTTACTAATTTAAACATTGCTGTTTCAACACCATTTTCTGCTGCTTTTTGATACCAATGCAAGGCTTTTTCTAAATTCTTTTTTGTTCCTTTTCCATTTTTATAGTATCCAGCTAAATTATTCATTGCACCAGCATGACCATTTTCTGCTGCTTTTTGATACCAATAAAAGGCTTTTTCTAAATTATTTTCTGTTTTTTCTCCATTTCCATAATATATAGCTAAATTAATCATTGCATTTTCATTACCATTTTCTGCTGCTTTTTGATACCAATGAATGGCTCTTTCTAAATTTTTTTCTGTTCCTTCTCCATTATAATAACATATGGCTAGATTAAACATTGCAATTTCTTCACCATTTTCTGCTGCTTTTTGATACCAATAAAAGGATTTTTCTAAATTTTTTTCTGTTCCTTTTCCATCATAATAAATATCAGCTAAATTAAACATTGCAATTGTATAACCATTTACTGCTGATTTTTGATACCAATGAAAGGCTTTTTCTAAATTCTTTTCTGTTCCTTTTCCATTATAGTGACATATAGCTAGATAAAACATTGCACTTTCTTCACCATTTTCTGCTGATTTTTGATACCAACAAAAAGCTCTTTCTAAATTCTTTTCTGTTCCTTCTCCATTTTCATAACATATGGCTAAACTATTCATTGCTTTTTTATCTCTATTTTCTGCTGCTTTTTGATACCAATGAAAGGCTTTTTCTAAATTCTTTTCTGTTCCTTCTCCAT